TAAATTAGAGTAGAAATTATGTAGCAAAGTTGTATAATTCAATATCTAATAAAGTGTTGGCAAGACTGCCTAAGTTTAAAAAAAAAAAAAAAAAATATGAGATTTGAACAATAACCAAATTTCTATAATAAGAAATAATAAAACCATTTGCCAAATTAAGAACAATAAACTGTTTAAACAAAAACTATTTGGCAAATTAAGAACAATAAACTTTAAATATGAACTAATTGTCAAATTAAAAACAATAAATTAGTTTAGAAATATCAAACAAAAGCCATTTGCCAAATTAAGATTTATATGCAAGTTTAAAATTTGTATCTTTTCTAATTTAAGTTTAAACTAAAGTTTTGAACAAAAATTAAACTGCAAACTTTCTAAATACAATAAACAGTTTGAAACTTAAGTTTTTTCGAACCATTTAACATTCCTACTTTTTAGCCACTGCTTCTTTTTTTTGAACTGCAGCCTCTTTTTTTTGCTTTGTTTACTTGGCCTTTTATTCAGCTTCCTCATTTAACTCTTTTAATTAATGCCAATTTTCTTTATTAGCTAAAAGTTAAGCAAATAAGAGCATCTTTCTTTTTTTTTTAGAAGGAGACAATATAGGCTCAGTAGACTCAGATGTTTTCTGAGGATTTTGAGTATGCAAAATAGTATATTTGAGTGTCAAATACAAAGCACATGTTTCAGGATTCTTGCAAGCTTCTAGCTCTTTACTTAGTCATACAATCTGAGACTTTAACAAATTATTCTTATTCTCAAATAAAGTATTTTTTTCTTTTAAATTATCAATATTGATAATATTTAGATATTAAAGTCATGTTAGTAGGCTAAACAAAAAGCAAGTTATCTAAACTAAATTATTTAATTGTTCAGTTGCTAAAAAAGGGTCTAAATGATTATCATCAATTACACTAGGATTAAAAGGCCATATTCTAATGGTTTTGTAAGCATTGCAAATAGCTAGTAGAGTATAGGTTTTAGTAAAAGCAAGATCAAGAATTGTTGTAAAGGTATGTTTTGTTACTATTTTGTTATTACTATTATTATGATACTTATTATTTGCTATACTATATTCATTTTTTAATTTTGCAAATAAAATTTTGGATTACTGTAAAACATGTGTTATATGAGATAGTAATATGAAGAGAAAAAGATTGTTATTGTGACAAAAGTCAACACTCATGTAGTTATTGTGACTTTTATGGCCATCAAGTGTCAATAAAACTGGACAGGTGGGTGGAATAAAATTAATAAAATGATTAAGGTACATTTGAAAAAACTTCTCATGCATGTATCTAGTTTTCATGAAGCCCATAATAGTTTCAGAAGGTGCACCTTTTAATAGGCCAGGTATTGCACAAACACCTTTATAGATAAATAAAGATAGTATGCATGATCCAGCAGCCAAAATAGAAATATATTCATGGGTATTTTCATAAACACTTTGTAAATTTGGCATACACCTTTTCATAAATAACTTTTCAGATTTAGAAATAAGAACAAAACCAGTTTCATCCATATTTCAAATCTATGTTGCAATAAGTGAATTTTCATTAATGATTTTGCCAAGTTTTTCAAAGTAATTCTTCACAATAGTCACATTGGCTCTTTGGGCACGTGCTTCTAATAACTCTTGGGAGTACGAAATGATAGTTCAGTCATGAAGTGTGCCCACCAATCTTTACCCGGCCCACTATCTCCAAAAGGATGTGGTCATTTGTTTAATTTTAAAATCTCCATTACACAATGGTCGACCCCAGACCTTGTTAGACTAAACCCAAGCCTTTGTACATTGATACAATAACCTGCAAGCTAATTCTCTTCATGCTCGGTAAGTATAGTTGGTGGGCCTGAACGATTAAGAGGGCCATCATTGTTTACAGCACGTCGAAGAGTAGCTTCTGAAAGCCCAAAGCTTTTTGCAACACTATTGACACTTGGGCGTTTAGAATTAGAATAACTATTTAAATCATTAAGCGCTGCTTGAATAGTATTTTGCCGATTAATATAAAAGGCTGGTGGCATGTTAATTTGTTACAATTTTCTGTCTTATAAATGTATCATGGTAATGTAATAAACTATGCGGTAATGTACACTTTTATGTAACGCGTCGCTAGTCAGATAAATGAACCTTTTTATTAAACTATGCACGTACAGTACTGAAGTAAATATTGACAACGGATCTAGATTTATCGCATCAGTCATGAAACGCGTTTGATTTGAAAAGATTAAAAAAAAGAAAAAAAAAAAGCGAAAAGTCCAAGTGTTACAAATAAAACGTACAGCTGTACAGCGTAAATTTAAATCACGTCAATCAAGCATTTCTTTTTAAAAAACGAGTTCTATCACATGATGTTAGCTGTTTTTCATAATACTCAGCGCATGTCTCGTTACAACGCATAACTAATGGTTCGTCATTAATACCCGGTTCGTTATAATATCATTTTGCCTTCATATCTTGTGTTCTAGTGTTCTAAATCGGGTAATTTTTATATCATTCGAATCCTCTCACTGAGAGGATTCGAATGGTGAAAAAATTATCCGATTTGGATCACAGATTCACAAGATATTTCAAATTCGTCATAATACCCCCGTCTCCCTTATACCTGGATTAAACAATTCAGATTTTTTTATTCTGAAACGGTGAGCTGGTCCATGAGCCATTTATATATATTGCTGTTTTTCCTTTTTTTTTCTACATGTTGCTCTTGGTCTCCCAACGATGCTTTGATTCAAATCTAAATTGTAAAATTATCTATTTAATAAATGACATTATTATTTAGTACACTTAACAAAAGGATAATACGCACCCCCATTTCAGTTTTGGTTTTTTCTTTTTCGCTTTCAATTCTTCTTCACGCTAAAAAAAACGTATGGTTATTCAAAAATGTATAAAACAATTTGATTAAAGACATTTAATACTTACTTTTTTTCTCTCATCATATTCTTTACATTCTATTGCTTCTTGTATCGTATTTTCATAATTCCTTTGTGCAATTTGGTCGCTTATTTTTGAAGCCAGATCTAAGTCACCATTTGCTACAGCTTTATCAAGTTCTTTCTCCAATCGACCCTTCACAATTAAAAAGATATAAATGATATTGTACATGATTATGTAGTGAAAACATATTTTAGTCACCTTAGGAGCCAGACGGCCATGATCTACACCTTTCAAATGTGAATTCATGTTTATGTACTTTACTAGACTTTTCGGAATTGTTTGATGTATTGATGATTGAGAGGTGGTTTGATCTGATGTAGATAATGAATCCGAACGGTTCGGATCCAGCTTTTTCTCTAATTCTTCTCGATCCTCTTGCTTTTTTTTTTTGTTACCACCATTTTGAATTTCTTCCCGTCGTCTCTTCAATTCTTGCAGCCGTTTCCAACGTTCTATAGATGCAGACATCTGCTGGTGCCGTAACTGATCCTAACGTCAATTAGACGTAACTCGAAGACGTGACGATACGTTAGGAAATCAAATACATATACCCAAATTTTTAGGTTACACAACGTTTTTAAAAATATAAAAAAAAGTAATAAATTTTTTTTCATTACGTAGCAATTGGAAAATTAAAGTTCATTTTATTAATTATACTTTATAGAACTAACAAATTTGCAATATTTATAAAGTAGTTAGACTTTAAAAATGACAAATTTATATGTATATATATTGAACTATTATTTTTTAAACCTAATTACTTTGTTAATACGTATAGCGAATTTTTTAATTTTGTAAAGTAAAATAGTTTTTAAAAAGCAAAATTTTAATAAAATACACCTTAATCTTTGATAACTATAGAAAAATTTTGTACAATTAATAAAACAAAAATGTTAATAAATTAGAAACTATTATTTTTAAAACCTAGTTATTTTTACTATATATAAATTTATTTTGTTTAGTAGATATGACCGGAGGCAATGATAAAAATAAAGCCACCTTGACTGCACCGTAGTCAATTTGGCTTTATATTGCCTCTGGTCATGTTATTAGTAGTAAACATGTTTAAATTTTATGATAAATCACAAAGCATTCAGATTTTCCACACAAGAAGTATTCAACTTGAGAGTTATGATTGGTTAAATCTCAAAGTATTATTTTTAAAATAGATTTTATTTAAATAAAATTAAAAATAAACAATATAAAAATAAATATATACAATGGGTGTGGCGACTTAGTGAAGTAGTGGAGTTGTCACACCCCTAGCTGGCAGGTTTAGAGTTCAAATTCCAAGGACGATGCTTTCGAAAATAGCCCTGCATGGCTATCATTATTGGTTGAATCCTAATCTGTAATCTTGGTCATACCATCTAGAATGGGAGCTTTGGTGCAATAAATACAAGGAACCGGAATAACCAAAAACCTGTTTGGCAAGTTCCGAGTCGGGAGGTAGTATGACTTTTGACAGTGTTACAGAAAGACCAAATTTGGAACCAGAAACTAAGATTGGAGAACCGAGCGATCAGGTCCTTTAGTGGGGAAACACACTAGCCGAACTGCCAGGTCACTAAAACTGGGAAAAAAGGACAAGTGCTCTGAAAGCATGTACTAAGAGGAGGGAGCCTATAAGATATATAAAGCCTGGGCAGACCAATTCTTTTGGGTTGCTGGCTAGAAGTAAGGGAGAAACCAGTAAAGAATTTGAGGAAAAAGGAAAGTCTAAATATGTGTACCGGGTTGTATGAACCTTACAAAAGCAAGGAGTAAGTAACGGTAGGGGTAAATAACTTCCAAGTACATGGGTAAAGCTATGGCGTAAGTTACTGAAAGTCTAGATAGCCGCCTGTGTGTGAAATATATACTAATCTAGCAGGATTTGTCTCTGAAGATAAATTAGTTTTAAGGTTGTATATAAGTCATTTATTAGGGATTCTCTACTTGTAGAAGTAGGAAATATAATTAGAGGGTTTAATTAGGCAACTCCATAGTTTGAGTTGCATGTATGATAGCTAATATAGAACTCTCGAGCAGACTACTTAAATTAGGCATCAAAAATACACATATGGCTAGTTATACTCTCATTGTAATTCTAAAATATTAGCATTCTTAATAAAAACAATTGGCTGCTGATATGACCAAAAGAGGTTGCCTTAAAAAAAAAAATAAAATATATAAAAAAAATAAATAAATATATACAACTAAAAATAGAATAACAAAAATAAAACAATATAAAACTATTATATATTATTAATAAGCTAAATATTCTTTATAGTATTATTCAATATTGCTATATAAAAATAAGTATAGTTTACTCTTGTTTATATTAACCTATTTGAATTGGTTTATATTTTTTTTTTTGTGTTTAAGGTGACCTCTATGGCCGGGGGGCTTTTTATTAGATAATTAACAACGTTACAATTATGATGAGGGTACAAC